TTTTTTTTATTAAAGGCTGCTGGATCCTGATTTTGGATTTCTTTAAGTTTTTACTCCTTGAAAATCAACTAGGACCAACCCTGAAGCTCTTGTGAAGGTGAATCTTAAAGAGCTTTGTTTAAAAAATTAATTTTAAAAAACAAAACAATAAATTAATACATTTCCAGCACTACCAAAACCAATTTATTTAATTGTGACAAAACCAGCTGCAAATGCCTCCTGGCTTTTAGTGAGACTGGACCTGCACACACCTGACCACGCTGAACTTGAGACTGTAGTTCCCGCCGCTCTGGATGATGGGAGGATAACACATTTCCACGGTGGACGGATCCGCACCGCCCAGGTACTTCTTTTCCTCGATGGCCTTCTCCACCGACTCCGCCAGCTTGCTGTGACGCACTTTCTGTTGGAGAGGATCAAAAGATACAAATAAAGACGTGTGGCGGCTGCTCCAGTATTAGTTACACTTTCAGGGACAGAGCCTCCAAAACTAATCTGAGAGTGTTTGTGCGTTATTACGAACTGTGCTACACTGGACCTTCATAATCTACAGATATACTGATGACCGAAAAGTGATGCAAACGCTATGATATGACATGGATAAATTGTGTCTTAAGCTGTTCTAAGCACTGAAAGCAGACAGCAACACACAGCTTGAAAACACAAAATGACACCAAGTCCAGCTGCTCCTCCCCCCTCACCTCATCAGCATCAACAATCTCCATCACGCGCTCCTTGAAAAACTTTGAGTAAACCTCGCTGGTAATGGCTGCCGCTTTCTTCATCAGGGCCAGCTCTCCGTCTTCCTTCACCGCCATCGTGTAGGCGACCACAGCACTGATGTCCACCTGCAGACAGAAGCAGAGTACATCTGATCACGACTGAAACGGGAGCGTAACATTCGCAGAGCTGGCCGATGTGTTGGGATCGCGCCTCACCTTCTCCAGTCCCTCAGCAGAAAGCGTGTCATTCCAGCTCTTCATGTACTCTCCTGGGAATTTGTCTTTGCTGAACACACCCACCGTCTTGCCCTCTTTGCTACCTCTGATCGCCTCGATCATCTTGTCAAAGTTGGCCTTGTTGCTCTCGTTCTGAAAGACAAGTAATACACTAATAAAAAGATGAAAGGAAAAAGAAAATCATTTTAGCACACTCCGCCTTCCCCTCCTCCAAGGCTGTTCGATTCATAACCTTTTAAATCCCACACAAGGCATGTGTTGACCACCGACGAGGTAGAACACAGGCGCTAATGTTCCTGTTTAACGTTCAGCACATTCACAGAAACTTTGATTCCTGCCAATCCCAACATAGTGCTCTCTGCAAGAAACCTGCCTCTCCCGTCTCCACCCGAGTGCAAAACCATCACATCTGAGTCATCCGTCTCTCCACACGACCATCTCCTCTGTGCCGGCTACATCTGGTGTGGTCTCTCGTCTCCAGCTACAGCCTGACAATTAACCAGTCCTTTCGTGGAAGTGGCAGCCACGTGCATGAGAAGGATGCAGTTTTTGAAGTATGACTACTCCACCCTCTACAACCCTTGCTTTTCTCTGCAGGAGGCCCTCCTGAGCAGTTGGAGCATGCAGGGGGTGTCCAAAGAGGAGGAAGGACGTCAGATAACAGCGTCAACCCAAGATGTTGACGTGACAGTTTGTGCAAAACCTCACTGGACTGCACCTCTTTAGAGCAGTCACAGTGTAGTCAAAGTGCAGAAAAAGGTAGAAGAGGAAAAAGTGCTATATGAAAAAGGCTTGTGCTAAAAAGCTCAAAATAGAAAACTGATACAAGACCAGTCCATCTGCAGGATCTCGACCGCTGCCTGAGTCCTGCTCTGCTCCTCTCATGGAGTCTTTTATCACCTATGAGTACGACTCTGTTACAAAATAAACTGCCTTGAAATTACTGCTGTTGTAAATTAAAGCAAGTAATAATAACAACGCACATGCAATGAAACTAGATTTGAAGATGAAGTCAGCAGATACATACGTGGCTAAA